ACGGACGCAGCCCGCAGTTTCTTTTAAACGTCAAACGTCCGTGTGAGACCCGTCCGCAAAGGGTGGACCCCCACCCGCTTTGCGAGGTGTGAGACAGGCTCGCTCGACCTGACCGGAGCACAGGCTCCTGTTAATATTGTTAGCAAATGTAATGAAGACGGTATATGGCTTTTGTCCGGACGGGTCGCCCCTTTCGCCAAAGTGGCCCTGCGCGAGCCGGCCTGTTTATTTCGCGTCAGAGACAGACGCCCGAGCATTGTGGCTTATCGTGGCATTTTTAGACAGTCCCCCAAGACTGTCTCTACCGAAAGGTAAAAGCCGCGCTCCCTGGTCATTCAATACATAGTTTCATTTCATTTCTTTATCTTCAAAAACGACTGCTACGGGCAGAGCGCTCGGCAACGCGCCATGGGAAAAGTAAAACCAGGGACTCTACCACCTCGCGCCTGGAACATTTCCTTCTGGTAGATACAGTCTTGAGTACTGTCTTTAAAAAAAAGTATAATTTTGTTACCCCTTCCTTCCCACACCTCAAGCCCTTGATTTAACTACCCCGCGCCGACGGGCTGCTCGGTGGTGGAACCGGTTGGCGCGGGGCCGCCGCGCATGGCCTGATGAAAAGCCGAACAAATTCGGTCAGACTGTCTCCGTCGGCCTCCTCCCCATGCTGACCGCGCCCGCTGCCGGCGAGGACCAGCCAGACGAGTCAGCCCAGGGCGTTAATTGTAAGCGTTATTTGGAGGGCCATGATTAATTTATCCCCGTGGATGACAGTAATAGCAATACTTATCCCGATGCGGTAAGTTTTTCATAGCTTCATGATCCCCGTGGATATGACAATAATATTTTTCCTATTGCGGTAACATTTTTTTCACAGCTTTGTTATTGCATCAACCATAAACTCAATTCTAATCAGAGGGCCGTGATAAAAGTATCCCCCCTATATTTGTGCACGGCCCTCTAGTGTTCTGTTCCCAGCCCTCCGTCCGACACAGGAACCAGCGGCAGCAGCAGCAGCAGCAAGAGGAGCTCCGCCAGGATCAACACGCACCGCCCCGTCGCTCCAACCCGTAGATCCGAACTTGTGTTTTTGATTCGCTCACAAGTCGGAGACTGCGGGTACGAGCTGCGGGGCACCCGCGACGAACGACCCGAGGACGCCCGACAAACGGCATCCAAACGACCCGCGCCAACTCTCTGTCGCTCCCACCCCTCCCCCGCCTCTCCCTGCTCCAGGCTCGACTGCGGCAGGGTTGCGCAGTGGCCACGATCATGTCACATTGACGTTCAAACAGCGGCACTGGTCATTCTGGCGTCGGCGTGACGTCGATTTGACCTCATCGTGCAGCCCCGCCGCCGAGGAGGAGGTCCGAGATCAAGTATGAGAAATTCTCCACATCCCGGGCGTCCTCTGACCTCTGTGCCGCGCTTTAGACTTGTGGGGATGCAAGCGAATCGTCAAGTTTGAACATATTTCGATTCGCCTGCATTCGCCGTGAGATGAGAAATGTTTCAAACCCTGCTGCCGATATAGCCGACGTCACCAGCGCACACCGCACTCGGCCCAAGATAAGTGTATAAACATCAGAGTGAGCATGAGCGAGTGTGTGTGTGTGATAGAGAGCGAGGGGGAGCGTGAGTGTGTGAAGGAGAGAGAGAGAGAGAAAAGTTTAGGGGAGAGAGACATTGAAGAAGATGACAAAGAAGAACGATTTGATCTTAAGAAAGGTGGGGGCTGCCTGGTACAGCCGGGTTGAGGTAGTAGGTTGTATAGTAATGAACTACAACACTTGGGAGTACTGTACAACTTGCTAACTTTCCCTCGCTGGGCCATTTCGCCTGACGCGGAGCCTCTCCTCTTCGGCATCAAGTCGCCCAGCTTGTCAAAATTCAGTAAAAGCTGAGTAACAAACCGAAACCAAAAAAATAAAATAAAAAATATATATGCAAAAATACACTTGTCCATCCGACGATCCCCTTTTGCATCTTTTGCAATGGGCCTCGTAGTAAGAAAAGGGTCCATGCTCCCAAATGAAACTGATTTATGTAAAGCATCTGTTTGTGAGTTAGTAATTACAAAAATGCGATTCTTGTTTGTTAACATCTTGTCACTATTAATTACATATATTTCGTTGTACTAACCACTATGTACACTGCTACAATGTCGGCCGTGAGACATTGAAGGGGTCACTGTTTCTTTTCTTTTTTTTTTCTCTTTTCTTTGTGATTTTGCGACAGGTCACCTGCCTGGATAGCTAAACCGCTCTGAACTCTGAGAAACTCGGCGCACGTTCCAACGTGAACGAAGGATTGCTGGACGTCTAAGAAACGTTTTGTAAGAGTACAGTGGGGGAAAATCAATGTTAAAAGGTCTCTCCTGTAAAACTACAAAACCGTTCTTAGATTGCTTTTTGCATCGGCGGCATGTAAAATGCGAAGATTCCGTGATTTCCACTCATATAGCATTCAGTGCAGGAAAAATGCCTATTCTGTTTCCGCCCGTCGGTTCGTCGCTTTTTATGATTTCATATGATTTGTTTGTGTTGCTGAGTATGTTGTGTTTTATGTTTATTTCGTAAATAAAATTGTAACAAAACGCCTGTTTACCACCTGGATTGTCCTGTAGTTTAAAATTTCGTCTCTATTGTAAACGATTCTAGAGCTTGGCTGGTTTAAGCTTTGTATTCGTAGATTTCGTAGGCTATGTATGAAACATGCGTAGAATTAGATATAGTACCCGTGGATCTCCTTTATGCTTATTGTGTAACCATTCAATCTATCTGTATAACTCTTCAAGGTGAAAATAAATTGCTATTTCTTTTTTAATTTTTTTCAAATTAATCATTTTTTTAGTAAATCGAAATACTGATTGAGTTGTCACACAAACCAAAACTTTAGAGAAGCTGACAAGAGCGTGAGCCAAACTGGCCCCCTGAGTCTATACAGCCCAAAAGGTGCTAAGAGTAAGTGCCTTTGGCAGATTTAGTGCATTTGTAAATGCACTAAACCCTTAGTGCCTTTTACAGGCAGGACTTAGCACCTTTGTTTTTCCAGTGAGGAGGCTCAAAATTGCGAGTCTCTGAAAATATGCTAACATTCAGCGGTCAAAACTAAATGCCAAAGTTATGGCAAGCAAAGCGAAACGGCGTTTAGAGTGAAAGGACGCCCGCCGGCCCGCAGGCCAGCAGTTCGATCGGCAATAATTTCACCAACCGATTGGTTCATTGTGGAGGTAGGCAAGGGAAAATAGACCTACCAAACATATACAGGGTGGTCCACCGACCCTCCTTTATTTTGCTTATACTTACGGCATGCAGTCATGTGGGCGGATTGCATACTCACACGGAGCCATAAGGCGCCGTGGTAAGCGACGGTAGGCAAGCCCGCCCGCACGCTTGCATGCGGTACAGTATAAGCAAAATAAAGGAAGGGGCCTGTGGACCCAGCCTGTACGCTTGAAGCGTACTGAAGTCAGTTTCCAGAAATTACAAATCGATGCCGGAAATTTCGTGAACTTCAATCAAAAATCGGCCAAGATTCGAATCTTGATCACCAAAATTTTTCGAGTTCTGAACAAATTCTTTTGTTAAATTTTATTCTACAAATTTAAGTGTGGGACGTTTGAACACTTTTAAGGGCGTGCCAAAATTTCACACACAGAAGAGTAAGTGACCAATGTGCCATGCATAGCAAAGTGTGCGACAACCATGTCATTCACAGAAAAGTATGTGACTCATAAAGTGAATAATATCTTGTCCGGGCACAAAAGAGTGTCTGACATGGCTGTCACACTATGTAAGACATGGCAGGCATGCTCACTTTAGTGAGACATTTTGGCACCCACTTTTAAGTGTTTGAATGTGCACACATTTTTTTGTGTATAGTAAGAAAGTTCAGAAACGAATAAACCGAAGTTTAAGCCTAAAGAAGAAGGCGATCGCCGCTGTTACAGAGTATGGTACGCCTTACGCCTTACCAAAGAGTGGAACTGTACAGTACAAAAAAGGGGGGGGGGATAAAGAACACTACCATCCTGTTCTTTCATTAGAACGGCCGTAGGCCACTTCGGCGACGCGAAGGAGACAGTCGGGAAGGGGTGAAGTAAACGTTTTGTACCCTTTAGGATGGTGACATTCTCCTCTCACAGCTGGGCGGGAAGAAACATTTTAATAAAGTTAGTGTTGTTAAGTACCGCATTACAACATCCTGCGACTTCATTTTACCGTACTTCGGGCTTTGAGATTCGACGAGATGGTCTAATGAGCGCGCTGACCTGACAACTGATAGGGCCGCCGGTGAGGTAGGCAAGCCAACCGGCACCCAAGTCGGGTGGGGTAGCGGGCAAGCGCGGCGGCGTTGGGGAGGAGAGGGGGGACCCCCCGTATTCAGCCCGACAAGAACTGATAACGAACACGACGATACCCAACCCACAGAATTGACGTCGATTTCCCCTTTCCTGCTGCATCTCAACAATTTTATATTCCTGCCCCTATTTGTTGTCCTCGGGGTCGGGGATGTCGGCGTCGGCGCAGCTCTGGCTGGGCCGACAAAATTAGAATTTCAAGTCATAGGACGACGTAGCTCTGCCTTTGAAATAATACGTGTACAATCCGTACAAAGACTTTTAACAACAACAAAAATTTATTATCACAGTTGCCTGCGACCTGCGACCCCTAAACCGGCACCGGTACCCGGCACGACCGGCACTATGAGGTCCTTTCGGTTCAAGTCATAGTGTCTGATTTGTCGGAATTTAGTCAGGAACTCTCTTGGTCTCTTAATCGTGACACTCATATACGATCAAAAACCCCAAATGACTTGGACATTATACTGAGTTGGACGTGTTTTTTTTTAGGCCAAACCCAACCGAACCTTAACCTAACCTCTACCCTCTCGATAGGAGAGCAAAAATTCCAGCAAAAACTGCGGTCAGTTTTCGTTATACGGAAAATACATCGAAATAATCCTGGTGAATAGGAATGGGACCTGAAGTTACTCACCTACGAAGTGGCAGGAGTAGAACAAAGAACAACAAAGGAAAAACTGTGAGGATCGGAGACTGGCGCCGGCCCGAGTCGCAGTAGAGGTGGTGGTTGGTGGTTGGTGGTGTCGCGTATAGAAGCAGAAAGCTAGTCAGGGTAAAGTTCCGAGTTCCGGCTCTGGTTAAGTCAGGCGACGAAACCTAGCTCTAGGCTTGCCATAAAATTCATGCAATTTTGCTTCCTTGTTCGCAGGGAGTGTCAGACGCCCTGGAGCTACGCAGAGCTTGCTGCCCGTTCCCTGAGACCCTAAACTGTGACGTCTACATTTTAATATCTCACAGGTTAGATTCTCAGGTATGGGAGGCTTGCTGCTGCCGCTCACCGGCCCGGCCCTGGACAGCGAAACACATAATCCGTGTCGCCAATAAACTCATTTCCGAAAAATTAACCTGTTGCGTTTTATTTTAATCATCCCTCCCTTTTTCACGAAACGGTAGAGGGAGGAAGAACTGCGCTAGTCATGTCATGATCCCGACGCCATCTGGACACCCTATGCGTCCCGACGTGGAGTAGAGCCAAGCACACTGGAGCTGTCAACGGGGAGTATCGGCAAGGCACTTGCCTGCTCGTAGGGAATGGTAGGGCAGAGGGCGTAAGGAGATAAGAGACCATTTATGAATAATCCATATAATTTCAACACAAGTGAGCTGGTACATCTCTACGAAACAAAATTCATTACTTGTACAGAAAACAAGTCAACAACAGTTTAGGAACTAAAACAATTCATACTCGATACAATCCTCAAGGCGAACCATAGACCGTGTTCAATCCAATATCGTCAACTGTTTAATTCTTTCCTGAGCTGTGTGAAGAAAATCAAATCTGAAAATTTGAAAACTCACAATAAGCACTGAAAAAAAGTTTTGGATACAGTTTTTAGGAATGACAATTCCAAATAAACCACTGCACAATTCAGAAAAACTAATAATTGAACTGAAATCAATTTAAGCTTTAGTTCAGCTCCATTTTTGAAAATAAAAATAGAATAAAAGTCCCATAACCAAATTA